GGGTGTTTCTTAAAAAAAAAAAAAAAAAAAAGAAAAAAAAAGATGTTTTTGTGTGAAAAAAAAGACATTCCGAAGTTATGCTTAGAGGGTTACACCAAGTTCGAAGGATACAGATACCACATGAAACAATTATGAATTGCTGTGGGCCAGTAGAGAGGGCATATAGTTGCACGGGGACCTGATGACTTTGGATCCCAAAATTTGAGGCAGTTTTCAGGTCACATTGGAGAGGCTCGCTACTCAAATGTAGGCCTGCTACCCAACTTTACTTTTTGGTGACCCTTTTGTCAGCAGCCTGAGGGGCTGCAGGAGGACCCTTTTTGAGACCACCTCCAGAGGTGCTTTGAGACCACCTCCAGAGGTGCTCTCAAAATACCTTAAGATATTTCAGGAATTTCTTGCATGAGCAAAACACCCATTTTAGCATTTACCTAAGGATCCCAATTTCGCAATTGGTTGGAATTCGGGATCGCCCAAAAGTGCAAACACTGTGGGCGACGGAGGGACCATAGTAGTGATTGATGCCAGACATCACAAAGGGTCCTATGGAGAACAAAGATTTGATTGATCATTCACACGGCGTCCATCCAGGTCGCAGTTGCAAAGCCTCTGCCGGCTTACTTACAGTCGCTAACTAAGGACCTCCGTGAGAGCTGTATGCGAGGAAACTTGCACATACGGTTCGGGAATGGCATTTAGTGAAAAAAAAAGCGAAAAAAGAAAATCTATATTTATAATTGCTGTAACCAGTGTGACTACGTGCAGTTCTGTGAGGCACAAATGTCAGGGCCGCGACTCTGTCCTTTGTGTACACCGCATGGGCACCCAAAGGCACAAATAGTCGCACTGGTTACACCACGTGAGTACACGCCGAGTTTGACAAGGACATCTCAAGGTTGTTGCCCTTTTTTTTATTTGGAAGATAGAAGAGGGTCATGGTTCAATAAACGTGCTCGACTACACACTAGTGCGAAGATGTGTGTGACAATAAACCGGTTACAATGTAAAACAGCACTAGATGATGGGTTTTCTTTGAGCCTGATACCTCCTGAAATTGGCCACTGCTCGACTACACATCACTCTAGATGCATTTTGGATTGTTTGTTGTACACGTGCATTCGATCAAGTCCAGCATTTTTGAATGAATCTGGTTCAAAAAGAATCCAAATGCATGCAGAGGATTGTGATAGACAGATGAAGGGCAGCACTTTCAAGACAAAGGTCACAAAGTGATCATGGCTCTAATGCACGGCCATCATACCGTAGAAGAAGAAGAAGATGGAGAGGCAAGAGGCAGACGAAGAGGAAGAGGAAGAGAAAGAGGAAGAGGAGGTATTGAGAGATGAAGAGGAAGAGTACGAGAAAGCAGAAGCGGAAGTGGGAGAAGAGGAAGAGGAAGGACACAAAGTGATCATGGCTCTAATGCGCAGCCATCATACCGTAGAAGAAGAAGAAGACGGAGAGACAGAGGCAGAGGAAGAGGAAGAGGAGGTATTGGGAGATGAAGAAGAGGATGAGAGTTCGAGAAAGCAGAAGTGGAAGAGCAGGCGGAGGAAGAAGAAGAAGAGGAAGAGGTGGTACTTAGATTGAAGTTAAAA